TCATTCAACAGGTCAACCCAGTGGCTTTCAGGCTCCGGTTACCCAACCACATGAAACTGCACCCAGTATTTCACAGGTCGTTACTGTCACCGTACGAAGGGGGACGAGAAGGGATGGCCACTCGGGACCGGTCATAGAAGAAAGAGAATGCAGCAGCCATGTGGCAGAAATCCTCGACGCCAGGTGGAAGGGGGATCAGGTGGAGTATTTGGTAGCGTGGGAAGGAGAACCGGAGTCAGAAAACACTTGGGTAATGGCCGAAGATATCAATGACGAGGTATTGATAGAAACGTTCCATCAAAGGTTCCCAAGGAAACCTCAGCCTGTGGAGAGGTTCCGGAGGGAATACTTTGGGACCACTGATGAGGAGGAGGAGTTGGAAGGATTCCCGGACTCGGAAGGGGAAGGGGAGATGGACTCTGAGGAGGAGGAGTACTTCGAGACCAGGAACCGCAACAGGTGGAGAGAAGTGTTCGAGACATCGGAAGATGAAGGAAGTTCATTCCGGGTTTTGCCTCCTCACCGCCCGTAGAGGAGGGGGCGAGAGGGGGTGAAAGGGGCCCTGGAGGGGAGGTGGATGTCAGGGAACTGCCATCGGAAGGAAGGGAGGTGAAAGGGCTCACACAGGTTGGGAGAGACTCAGCAGCTGAAGAGGGAACCAGTAGGGGAGAGGAGCTGAGCTGAGGGAAAGTGAGCTGGAGGGATGGCTCAGAGACACTTCCAGCGAAAACAGTGGGGAGGTTTCAGGACCTCCTGTAGGAACACCCACTCCTCGCCGGAAACTGTCACGCAGAGAGTCCAGAAGACGTGTTTCCGTTAAGGAGCTTTTATGTTGGAAGCGATTCCGAAAGCAACCACTGTCGGAATCTGCTAGTGACTAGAGGAGCCATGTCTGAGGGGCTCCGTCACAGACAGAGGTTTGTGGACTTGAACAAACTCTGAGGGGATACTATTTTACGCACAAGCAGCTCATCATCCCATCACACATGGCATTTCTGTTTTTGGCCCAGTATATCTGAAGGAGTGCCTCCACCCACATTGTTCAGCCCAGACTCTGAGGTCCAGCTCCGAGGGCCTTCTGGCGGTTCCCTCACTGTGAGAAGCAAAGCTACAGGGAACCAGCTAGAGGGCCTTCTTGGTTGTGGCGCCCGTCCTGTGGAACGCCTTCCCATCAGATGTCAAGGAAATAATCAACTATCTGACTTTTAGAAGACATCTGAAGGCAGCCCTGTGTAGGTAAGTTTTAAATGTCTGATGTTTTATTGTATTTTTAATATTTTGTTGGAAGCCGCCCAGAGAAACCCAGCCAGATAGGCAGGGTATAAATAAACTCTTCTTCTTCTTCTTCTTCTTCACTGAAACTGCATTTTAAAATCTGGTGAAGTTGCATTCCAGTCTTCCTAGGCGTTGTGTTCCAACCCACAGGTACAATTGGGAGCATAGGATTAGATCAGCTCCTGCAAAAAGCAGACCAAATTCCTTCCCAATCCTACTATCTACTCTTACCCAGAAGCCCAAACTTGCAGGAGCGTCCTCTACCCCTGTCCACTGTCATCAAAAACTCCACAGATCCCACTCTACAAGATTCAGCCCATGCTTCCCTTACCTCCCTGCTCCCAGTTCAAGGGTGGGGAGCCTTTTTCAATCCATGGGCCACATTTCCTTCTGGGAAATTTTCTAAGGGCCTCCTGCTGATGGGAGGTAGAGGCCAAGGTATACAGTAGGTTAGTTTCTAGACACACTCACACAACCCTCTTCATCGAAACAATCAAGAGGCTCAAGGGACATATCCCAGCCTGGCAAATGCAGGGTCATTGAGGTGTCAGTGAGGGCTGTGCCTTGGGGAGAATTCCAAGGGTCAGATAAAGAGTGCTTGAATGCATATTCAGTCTCCTGGCCTGAAATTCCCTGCCACTGCTTTAGGCCAATGGATGTAGGGTAAAACAAAGCAACTTGGGCAAGTGGAAGATTACTTTTAGGGTTCTTAAAGTAGGCAGCCGATTCCTAATATCCAACCTAGAAATACTTTATTAAGTTAAAAAAAAGGAGAGAGACCAGAGACCAATCAAACAAGGTGTAAGATAAAATATAAAGGTATTTCTACCAAGCCCATACTGAGCAACTAGCAAGCAAAGTTCCCAAAACTTTCATGCAAAACAGCAAGAGTCTTCATCGGTGTCTGGAAGAGGAGAATTTCAGGGAAACATCCAACACCATTAATTTCCATCTAATGAAACTTGGACCCTGCTGGGTTGACTACGTTCAACATGTATGCACAGAAATGACAGTTACCGTGTTTCATCTCAGGGAAAACAACATAAAAATGTGTTAAGCTGAGGGGATTCTCTTCCTTTCCTGGCAGACAGATATAACAAAGGAAACCTCATCCTGTGGATTTGATAAAAAGGTATGTGCACTTCTCTAAAATGAAGAAGCTACTCTCTCAACAGGATTAGGGATTCTTAAAGGGCAGCTCTGTTAGGTCTCCAGCTTATTCTTCACAACCTCTAACATCTCCTTCCTTCTGCTCAAGGTCCCTAATACACTGAACTGAAATCTGAAGCTGCTCTCAGTAGCAGGTAAAATAGTAATACTGGCAAATTTTGGAGGAGACATGGGCATGACACTTGAAACTCTGCTGAGGCAAAATTCTGTAGCATTCTGGAACATTTTGTTTCTCTTGTCACCAGTTAAATTTGAGTGAAAGGGAAGGAAGAGCTGTGGGTTTGGTTTCAACGGTGGAGACTGATAATAACAATACAGTTGATCAGAAGAACACCTGATAGAACAAATTATTATTTTATATAGGGAGAAGGGAAGCCTGGACTACACATGAAAATCATTCTGTAATGGTGCCTTCCCAACATGAACCAATCCAATAATTAAACTGTTTGAGAATTTATTAATGTAAGGGAAAATCCCACAACTGCTTAATTATGTAGATTATATGCACACAGAAATCTCTGTTGGAAAAGTGCCCATCATGTATTAAAAACCTAAAATATTGTTTTGCATTCTCAACATTAATACGGAGGGGCTGCCACAGTGCACAATGCCATGGGGGACAATTGTTGTGTAACGCATTCAACAACAGGATTAAATATGCTTTGAAAATTAGCATCGGGAATCAAGACTGGAATTTTGATCTTCATGTTATTTCATAGAATCATAGAGTTGGAAGAGACCACAAGGGCCATCGAGTCCAACCCCCTGCCAAGCAGGAAACACCATCAGAGCACTCCTGACATATGGTTGTCAAGCCTCTGCTTAAAGACCTCCAAAGAAGGAGACTCCACCACACTCCTTGGCAGCAAATTCCACTGTCAAACAGCTCTTACTGTCAGGAAGTTCTTCCTAATGTTTAGGTGGAATCTTCTTTCTTGTAGTTTGGATCCATTGCTCCATGTCCGCTTCTCTGGAGCAGCAGAAAACAACCTTTCTCCCTCCTCTAGGTGACATCCTTTTATATATTTGAACATGGCTATCATATCACCCCTTAACCTCCTCTTCTCCAGGCTAAACATGCCCAGCTCCCTTAGCCGTTCCTCATAAGGCATTGTTTCCAGGCCTTTGACCATTTTGATTGCCCTCCTCTGGACACGTTCCAGTTTGTCAGTGTCCTTCTTGAACTGTGGTGCCCAGAACTGGACACAGTACTCCAGGTGAGGTCTGACCAGAGCAGAATACAGTGGCACTATTACTTCCCTTGATCTAGATGCTATACTCCTATTGATGCAGCCCAGAATTGCATTGGCTTTTTAAGCTGCCGTGTCACACTGTTGGCTCATGTCAAGTTTGTGGTCAACCAAGACTCCTAGATCCTTTTCACATGTACTGCTCTCAAGCCAGGTGTCACGCATCTTGTATTTGTGCCTCTCATTTTTTTTGCCCAAGTGCAATACTTTACATTTCTCCCTGTTAAAATTCATCTTGTTTGTTTTGGCCCAGTTCTCTAATCTGTCAAGGTCGTTTTGAAGTGTGATCCTGTCCTCTGGGGTGTTAGCCACCCTCCCAGTTTGGTGTCATCTGCAAATTTGATCAGGATGCCCTTGAGTCCATCATCCAAGTCGTTGATAAAGATGTTGAATAAGAGCGGGCCCAAGACAGAACCCTGTGGCACCCCACTAGTCACTCTTCTCCAGGATGAAGAGGAACCATTGATGAGCACCCTTTGTGTTCATTCAGTCAGCCAGTTACAAATCCACTGAGTGGTAGCATAGTCAAGACCGCATTTTACCAGCTTCTTTACAAGAATATCATGGGGCACCATGTCAAATGCCTTGCTGAAATCAAGGTAGGCTACATCCACTGTGTTCCCTTCATCTACCAGGCTTGTAATTCTGTCAAAAAAACGAGATCAGGTTAGTCTGACATGACTTATTTTTCAGAAATCCATGCTGACTATTGGTGATCACAGCATTCCTTTCTAGGTGCTCACAGACTGTTTGCTTAATGATCTGCTTCAGAATCTTCGCTGGTATTGATGTCAGACTGACTGGGCGATAATTATTTGGGTCCTCTCTTTTCCCCTTTTTGAAAATAGGGACAACATTTGCCCTCCTCCAGTCTGCCGGGACTTCACCTGTTCTCCAGGAATTCTCAAAGATGACTGCCAGTGGTTCTGAGATCACATCTGCCAGTTCTTTTAATACTCTTGGATGCAGTTCATCTGGCCCTGGAGACTTGAATACATCTAAACTAGCCAAGTATTCTTGTACTATCTCCTTAGTTATTCTGGGCTGTGTTTCCTTTGCTGATTCATTTGCTTCAAATTCTTCAGGTCGGGCATTGTTTTCTTTATCGGAGAAGACTGAGGCAAAGAAGGCATTGAGGAGTTCAGCCCTTTCTGTGTCCCCTGTTTGCATTTCACCATCTTCTCCTCTGAGTGACCCCACTGTTTCTTTGTTCTTCCTTTTGCTACAAACATACCCATAAAAGCCTTTTTGGTTGCTTTTAACCTCTCTAGCAAGCCTGAGTTCATTCTGTGCTTTAGCTTTTCTGACTTTGTGTCTACACGTGCTGGCTATTTGTTTGAATTCCTCTTTGGTGGTTTCCCCCTTTTCCATTTTTGTACACATCCTTTTTAATCTTAACTCAGTTAAAAGTTCTTTAGATAGCCACCCTGGCTTCTTTAGGCACCTTCCATGTTTATGTCTCATTGGTATTGCCTGACATTGTGCTTTTACTATCTCCCTCTTAACAAACTGCCAGCCATCATGAACTCCCTTTCCTTTTAGTATTACTGTCCATGGGATCTCACCCAGCACTTCCCTAAGTTTTATGAAGTCGGCTTTCTTAAAGTCAAGAAATTGAGTCCTAGTATGCTTGGCTGCTCCTTTCCGCTGTATAGTAAACTTCAGAAGAGCATGATCACTCGCGCCTAATGATCCTTCCACTTCTACCCCACTAACCAGGTCATCAACATTGGTTAGGACCAGATCTAAAATGGCTGTTCCTCTTGTTGCTTCTCCCACTTTCTGGACAATGAAGTTGTCTGCAAGGCCAGTGAGGAATCTGTTTGACCTTATGCTCTTGGCTGAGTTTGACATCCAACAAATATCCAGGTAATTGAAGTCCCCCATTACTACTATCTCCCTTCCTTTTGCATGCTTGGCCATCTGTTCCAGGAAGGCATCATCTATGTCCTCTGTTTGGCTTGGGGATCTATAGTAAACTCCCACATTTCTAGATTAAATTTCACATCTTCCCTTCAAATGGCTCCTGCAATTGTTTTGATTTGAATTATATGTACAAGTTAAATTATTCATTGCATACGCAAGTAGTAAAATGTATTCTTTTCTCCTGAATGCATATAAAGTGCATCTTTTTATGTCATTTGAAATAAATATTAGGGAACTAGATGCAATATAACAGCTGGAAAAGCTTCTTCGTTTTCAAACAACTTTTACTCTGAAAGTTTGATTTCTTTTATAACTCTTGTTGGGTCTCTCCCTGTACATGCACAATTTGAGAAACAGTCCCTGTTTAAGGAAAAATCCAAATGTGGACATGAAAAAACAATGACATCCAAATGACGAAAGCCTTCTTATTTATATGCTGTTTGCATGGTTCCTACCCACTAACCTAGAAAAATAAATAGCATCCTAAAGCACTCAGGGAGAAGAACAGCAAAATGCCATTAACTGAAAGAAACCCTAACAGCTGCCTTGAGAGACATTCTGGTATCCATTACCTTCCTCTCATCCAGTGCATTTCTTGTTGGTTGTAATTAGGTGCACTTCAGATTTATGCAAGAGTGCTTTCCAGGACAAGAGCACATCCTCATTCTTGTGTAGATGGTGCAGCCAATATACGCACCACCAAATTAGGATGGGCCTTCTTGACCCCAGTAGATACTTTATGATTGTACAGTTCCTTGAGTAGAAAGGCAGCCATCTGGTTCCCCAGAATATCGAAAGCCAGGATGCTTTCAGCTGAGTATTTTCAGCTTCATGACGACTTAAAAACATAGAGCAAGAAACATTACTGCTGAAGTTTTGTTGAAAGGAATGAATATGAGCTGTGCAAGAGCAATGGGGCTCTTGCAGAACTTCCCAGTGGAATGCGTCCTCATTATATTGCAGCTGTAATGTAGCCTATCCACAGAATCCAGCAATATAGTAGAGTAAGAGCCAATTATCAGTTTTGACAAAAAAAGACGCACTATGATGCTACTCAGTAGTTCAGTCTTTTTGGAAAAAATGGTTCTCTCCTTTGGAGTGCCATGAAGATTTGAGCTTCATCTTCCACGAAGACTATAGGATTCAGCTGCTGTTTGTGGAAGTGAATGGGGATGCCAAACTCATCACGATCTGTGTCTGTACCACTTTTAAATGTAACAAACTTTCAACTGGGTTATTTCCTCATAATAAGAAAGCTACATTTCATCCGGAGGCTGTGTCATAAACCAGGATGTCAGAGCTCTATTTGTAGATTTTTCTTTTATGAGCTCCCAGCGCCAAATTCAGCACTAGGAGGCGAGGCAACATGGTCTTGGCAACCTATGCGAAGGCAGACATTGGCTCACTATGAAAGCTTAGCAAGAGAGGTAAATTCACCTTTGTTGCTTCATAAAAGAGAATTAGTTGTCAACTTCTAATTGCCAGTTAATCAATGTGTTGCAAAATAAATGAACTATATTAATTCCACTTAGCTCCGGTACGATTTAAAATAGCACGGAAATTATATGCTCATTTTCCCCAGTGAGCTCAGCAGTTGCAGTCCATATCAAGAAGAAACGATTTGCCCAGAACCCTTTATTTCAGCATAATCACAAACCCACAGTAGACTATGAAATGGAATACAGTGGTACCTTGGGTTAAGTACTTAATTCGTTCAGGAAGGTCTGTACTTAACCTGAAACTGTTCTTAACCTGAGGTACCACTTTAGCTAATGGGGCCTCCTCCTGCTGCCGTGCCGCCGGAGCACGATTTCTGTTCTCAACCTGAAGCACTATTTCTGGGTTAGCAGAGTATGTAACCTGAAGCATATGTAACCTGAAGTGTATGTAACCTGAGGTACCATTGTATAAAGAACTGATACTGGGTGATGACTTACTTTCCCAGTGTATTGTATATTACCAGGATTCCTGAGCAATAATAGATCGCTGAAAAGATTTAATGCACACCAACTCTTTTTTTAAAGAGCTGCCCTATTTGTTTGCTGTCACATGACCTTTTATTGCAGTTTGAACATGTAAACCTTCCATTTATACTGTGCTGTCAACTCCCTTTGATGAAGTACTGTTATATAAATGCATTTCTTTAGACTGTTGTCCTATATTATCTCAAGGACATTTCCATTATTTTTGTAACTTTATTGTGGTTAAATTCAAATGAGACTCCCGTCAACCTGTTCTTCAAAGTGCATGGTTATCACACATATGATTAGGTTTTGTTTCCGTATGCTGTAACACCAACTGACCCTTTCAGGAGGTACTTTTGGAAAACCAGCACAAATCACAGTGAATCAGATCTCTTATAGTTAAAAAGAGAGATGAAGAGATAAATTGGTGGAACACACTCTGCATTTCCATCTTTGTTGATCACACGTGATACGACTAACTGGATAGTTAGACCCAAACCCCATGCATTCAAATGAGGGATTAATAATATAACCCACCCCTACTTATAGCAGGGGCATGTTGGCTCCACCACCTTTCTCAAAAAGGAGTTGTAAGAGTGGTTCTTAAAGCCAGGGGGTTGAGAAGACCAAGTGGGTTCTGATGGCCCACTGGGAGTGGGGTAAGTGTGGCTCTATAAGCCAGCTCCTTTCTGAGCTCATCCTTATGCTTTTGCTGTACCCATCCTTCCTACCTATATGCAGTGTGGGCTTTTGCTAGTTGCCTGCTAGAAGGGGCTGAGTAGGATTTTCTCCTCCTTGGCCAATTTCACATTGCTTGATAGAATTAGATTGACAGTTGGAAGTGGTATGACTTGGTTGTTCTTTGGGCCATGAGTCTGGGCAGGTGAGGAAGTTGGGAAGAGAAACATTAGGTATACTGAGGCATTACTGGATAAAGGGGACCCATTTGGGACTTCCCAGTACATTGTGCCTGGTGAGACTGAGGCCCAACATGTGCATTTCAGGGAAACATTTGTCTCTTGAGTTTTCTTTGAAGGTGTGGGGGCAACACCATGCATTTCTGCATATTCCATTATGCATATGTCCTGATGTGTTCAGTGTAGCTTACTCCATGGTGCACATGGTTCTACTGATGTGCAGCATACTGCTACTACTAGTGTTACTACTACTAGGATGTACCCAACAGTGTACATAAGGAAGAAGAGTAGAACTTCCTGGACTTCCGGGGAGGTGCCTCCGGTAATGGCGGAATTCCTCTGACTGGGAGGAATCTGCTCCGTGGGAATCTGGGTCTGGCCGCCATGGCGAAGGCGGAGACCCGTTAAAATCACAGGCGGGAGAAGCCTGTGAGCGTGGGATTCGGCGGGCACCTTTTGCGCCTCCCCCACTCACGGGGAACCCCGGTTTTGGGGGATCCGGAGCGACGTGGGGTGAGCGGCGCGGTGCATCGAATCGTCTGCTTCTTCCACGGAGCGAAGCCGCATAGCTGTTGCTGGAGAGCACTGACCTTTTCCTGTGGACAATTTGACTTTAAAGTAATTACCCGTGAGTAGAGCTGAAGTGGAAGAATTGGATTTCTAAATGTTTAATTTGGTACCGTAACGGGGAGGTTCAAAACAGGAAGTCCGCCTTCCCCTTTTGTAAATAGACTGAGGCAATGAAGTTGCAAGCTGGAGTCCTGGAAAGCCTTTTGTAAAAGATTAAAATTCCATCGGTAAAGAACATTAAACCCCCTCTTGGAGGCAGGAGAAGAGAGGGGGAAGGTGCGGATTGAGTATGCTTGTGGGAGAGAGCGGAGAGATTTAAAACACCGCTGCTCCGACCCTGGAAATGGGCTGCTAGCAGGACTGACGTCTTTTGGAATGTTCATTGACAGCGTTTAGAACGTTCATTGACAGCTAGTTAAACAAGAGAAATACATTGTTTCTACTGTCTCTGGCTGCTTTAAAAAGGAGTAAAAGTAACTGAAAATTGAAACTAATTTTGGATTTCTTAAAAGAGGATACTATTGACTATTACAAATAGAAACTGTTTCCCCCTAGTGGAAGCCTTTGAAACCGGTTGCTTTATAAGAGCTGGGCTAGGGGAATTTCCAGCTGCAAGTTAAAAACCGTGAGACTCTGGGACTGACCTTGAATCTTTTAAGTGTTATGGTAAATGGAAGAGGAAAAACAGACCAGTCAACTGCTGACAAAACATTAAGGTCTGGGAGGACTTGGCAACAATCCAGGAGAGGTCCATCATCAGGCCCCCCTGCTCCTTCTGTCGTTGCCTTTGTACCAGTATATCTAAAACCAAGAGGAATGTCGACAGAAGAGGCTTTAGTGGCTGCATTATATAAGATAAATGACTCACTGGATCAGCTTAACAGGAAAATGGACACGATAAATGCGAAAGTGGATGTTTCAATTACTAAAATTAACTTAAATACAGAAAGTATAAATAATACTAATACAGAAACCACCCAGAAATTGATACAGGAACCTACTTTGATACGGCAAACTGCGCAGGAAGCCAGGGAAAAAGCCGTTGTTGCTGAATGTAAAGTAACACAACTGGAGAGAAAGAGAAAGAGAAAGAAAGCCCCAGCCCTACAGAGGCAATTTGATGAACATAAGTTGACGCTTGCTATGACTGAACTTAAAGAAAAACAGACGAATTTGAGGATTAGAGTTCACCTTTGGTGGACATGCCCAAGGATTAAGACACTCTGGGAGATGATTCATAACGAAATGAAAAAGGTATTTAAATATACCCTTTTGAAGAAACCAGAGGTCTTTCTCCTGGGCATGGTCAGCCAATTGGTGTTAAAGAAGGATAGAACTTTTTTCACGTATGCAACAATAGCAGCAAGAATACTCATTGTGAAGTATTGGAAGACACAAGATTTATCTACTCGGGAAGAATGGCAGATGAAGCTGATGGACTATATGGAATAGGCGGAAACGACTGGCAGAAATCTGAGACCAGGGAGAAGAGTCGGTGGAAGAAGACTGGAAAAAGTTTAAGACTATTTATAGAAATACTGTAAAAATAATGAATGTTAGAAAAATGTTGGAATGAAGTTATATGGCTTTAGTAGAAATGCTATAAGGAATCAAGTATAAATAGATTAATAGAGTATTAAAGGGAAAAATAAGGTTAGAATGTGTTAAGATAATTATAGGATAGAAAACAGAGGAAGATGGAAAGGAATTGCTGAAACAATTAATAGAAGTGGAACACAAAAAGGGAGGTGTGAGGAGGTCGTGGAAATAAGGGAATGAAAGATAAGATATTGAAATTGTTCTGTGTTTTAAATGGTTTGTGTCTTGTTTTGTTAGTCTTATTTTGTTAGTCTTATGCGTTAGTGTTTTGTTGTGTTTAAACGGTTGGAAAATTAATAAATATTATTATTATTTTTTAAAAGAAGAAGAGTAGAACTTCCTCTTCCTTTCCTTCTCTATGCACCCCCGAAATCTACTCCAGAGGGTTGAGGGACCATTTGGAACAGATTGGGGGGTGGGTGCAGGGAAGGAGATGAAGGAGGAAGTTCTGTTATGTGAGTGGACACCTGTCTTAGGTATGGGGGAGAAATCCAGTTCACTTGGCATTTACATGTGACTCTACGCAATTCACACTTCATGGAAGGATATGCAGCCTGAAAACTCAGCTATCCTTTGAAATTCACACTTCTCTGAATTATGCAATGCACTTCTCCAACCAAATAATGTGTGTGATGATGTGTATATGTGTGTATTATTGGAAAGGTGTGCTTAACAATGCATATAGGAGTGAAAAAAGAGAAATTGAGAGTAACAGAATTGACAGCTTCGTCCATCCCAGCATTGGCTACAAGCCCATAATAATGATTTAAACATTTTTTGAGCTAGAAAATTGATTTCCACAGAAAACAAAAGTAAAGTTATGCCTTCAATTTCAGAGGAACTAACTTTCCATTGCCTGAGGTGAGAAAACAGCAAGCATGCTTCCCTTAATATACATGCAGCATACATTAGCTCCAACTGCTTAAAAAAAGGGTGGGATGGTTGTACTTTCCATGTAACACACTTTTTGCCAGCTAGGTCGTGTTTGGGTGTGGTAGAAGTGACAATTGCCTCAGGCTTCTCCACTCTAGACAGTCAAATAGAGGCAGCATTTGAATGATTTAAATGAGGAGTGTAAGTTAGGTTTGCCCTTCCTGCTGTTTCATTATATTTCAGTAATAAATCATCGTTAAACTCATGTACATTCTTCCTTTTCACTCACCAGCTTTTACTTAGACAACTCCTTCTTTATAAAGATAAAACCTCTACTTAAGGCAATACTGAAATATTGTGCCAGAAAAACAGTGAGAACTTGCTTTGCCTAGGATTATAAGATCAAAATTAAAGCAGAACAGGGAGGAGGAGGAGAAAGAGGGCACAACCCTTGAGCAGTAGCGTCTAAAATGTGTTTGAAAGTGTATGCGAACTCTGAAGCAAGCAATAATCCTTTAGGAACCTCAGAGAATTCCAGCAGTCTTTCCTTATCAGGGCAAAACCCTCCCAACAATAATCCTACAATGTAATCAGTCTGTAGGCTAATGGTTGTAATGGTTGATGCTCAGGAGTAACAGCAAAGAAGCCTTCCATCCTGTTTGTAGACTTTCTGGGGTAATCTGGGTAATCTGTAGGAACTGGGCTGCTGGACTAGATGAACCTTTCATCTGATCAAGGAGGATTCTTTTTTAAAATCCACGTATATGTGACATTTGCATGCTGTTCCATAACAAAGTTCTCTAATGATCTTATCATTATGAGCCCAGAACATGAATGAGCCCAGAACATGACTGGGCTGGAACAAAAGGGTATGTGGTACTTGTGTATCTCACCAACCCACCTTCTGCTTTGTGTGAATGTTGTGCAAGCACATTCATGCAATCTAAGAATGCACAAAACCCCTTCCATCAGGTGTCAACATGCTGTTCAGCAGTGCAAAGGGCAGGGCACGGCAGTAAAACACAGGAACAAGGATTGTTTGTTTTTAAACCAGGGAAGATTGCATTTTGAGTTCCCCAATTGCAAATCTGCTCATATAACTAATTAAGTCCAAAATTAAAAGTATGAAAGACTGGAAGCCAAGGATGCATCCTTGCCATCCATTCCAGAGGTAGGCAGTGGTGGACTTTGGGCTCTCAAATTTCAGTGGCACCTTGTGTGATGCTAAAATTCTGCGCCACTTGCCTCTCCGGCTCCATTCTATGGCATTGTTTCAATGTGCACTGGGCATGCCACCCTAAGACCGCCTCTGAGGTGGGTAGCTAGAACCAAACTCCGATCTGCAACATTCAGTTGCATCACAAATTTCCTCATCTTTTTACCTTGTAGTGTTTGTTTCTCACCACTCCCTTGCAGCACCAAAATGGGCTGCCCTAGTAGTGCAAAGCCGGGGTTGGGCAGAAATCATCTCTTCTGCTCAGCATGCCTGATAGCACATAAATAAAACATACTCTGTGTGGGCCTTGCCCCTTGTGAATTGTCTGATCTTCCCCCACTTAAGGCATGAATACGATGTCTTAATTTAGGCTATTGCAAATCCTCTCTGCAAAGGTCTGTAAAATGCAAATGCAAGCCCTTTAATTCAGTGGTTTTACCACTGTGAAACGGAACACTATGAATTACATCCCTTTATGAATGGAAATAATAATGAGCTGTCGCCAAAGGCCTCATTTTCATGCAAACAATGTGGAGGATAGCTTATTGCAGAGATATATGTGTGTGTGTATATTGGCTCCAGTCCAAAGACACCCATTCATAGCAGCATAGAATCACTGTCCAACAGACAGTTGGCCACACTTTCCACTCTATTAAAGTGGGGTGCTGCCCTCTGGTTCTGATCCATCACTCAGAAAGAGATGTGCAATCTTGATCCCTAGATGCAGGGATCCACCTGTCAGACTTGCAACATTGGTGTGCGCACACATGCGTGTGTGCCTGTCTGTGTATCCGTTGCAGGATCCACACTGGCTTTCTTATGCGGATTGTTCTGATTGGATCTAGGTTGATGTTTCTGTGTCTGCTTGTTCCACTGAAATAGCATCCAGTTTCATAAGAAAGACCATCTTGTTAGGAGGTTCTAGAAGGGAAGCTTAGCTATAGTGCAGGGTCAGGCCTGCACAGGGCTTGTCTGAGGCCTGGGGTGGGAATCTTGTTAGAATAAAGTTATAAACAGCTGGTCCCTAGCAGCAGTCCCCTAGTTGCCTTAGCTCTCTGAAACCCGGGGCAAGTGTACCCAGCTGTAACCCGCCCCCCTCTGCACGCGCCTGTCTGAGATGGTCATCCTCTTCCATTGATCATGCATCTTTGGAAGGGATGCACAGGAAGCAGTGAGGGAAGAAGGGGGCATTCATCTAGGCAGCCAGATCAGCTGAATCAGCCCAGCTGTTCAACAGAGTGAAAGATCCCTCTCACATTCTTCATAACAGAGATTATGGCAAAGAACCCTTTGGACAGACTGCCTAAGGTATAATGTAGCCTTTTGTTTGTTACAGGTACTTGTGTGATAGGGGGAAAGTGGTACTTATTCACCTAGTCATGTTTCATGCAGCAGCTAGCTAGTCTACTTCCACACTATTGTAGTCCATGACAAAATGATGTTTTACAAGTCCACACATTCAGTTAGTCCAGCCTGAGAAAGTTAGATGGATATGTAGTGTATGCAATACCCAGCACAACACAACAGTAAATGGTGAAATGTATCCCAAACTTTCTGTATATGTATTCCAGGACAGAAAACAGAGCCCAAGATATCTCCCAAAAGTGAAGGATGTAAATCAATAACATGGGATGTAGCCAAGGTTCATTTTATTCAGAGTGGATCCACTGAAATTAATAGCCATGACTAACTTAGGTCCATTGATTTCATTGGGTCTACTCTTAGTTGCATGCAACTCCACATTCTTAGCTGTGACAGAGGAGGACACCTGCCATTGGGATCAAAACTTTCTTTTATCCAAAAGCCCCTGTGGGACTTCGTAGCTAAGAAGGCTGCAGCAGAATGAGGTTTACAAGGAGGAAAAAATCAAACTAAAGGGGACACCAGTTTTATCTGTACAAGATGAGGTTTGCATATAAGATTCTCTCATCTCACACAAACATGTTCACACAAACACAACACAAGCATCTGGAGTGCTCAAATCAATCCTACATGAGTTGTGGGGATGGATGACTAACACACCTTTATGGGCTGCAAGGTTTAAAATAATATTTAAAAACACATGTACTCAAAAAACCCCAAAAGAATGTGCCAGAGTATTATTTTACTTATTATAACGGCAGGTACTATAGAGGCAGTATTTTATGACATTAAATCAAACCACAATGCAACTTGAAATATACAGTAAGTATCACCTATAAATAGTATGTTTTTGTTCACTGGAATTTTTGTTATATACATCAAGAAGCTTTTACTCTTGACTAGCTCAACCAAGGCAGCTCTTTAAAAAAACCTGTGCACGCACAAAATGGAACAAGGCTTTTAGTGCTTTACAGCTGTCTACATGGGGGCATATCTATAATTTCTCTCCCACTATGTTGCCTTCTTGGTTGTTTGCTTGTTTAAAAGCAGAATGCCTCCTAACCTGTAGATTGTAATTCCAGAGCTAAGCAACAAAAATGCTCTTGAAATACATTATCTTTGTAGGTGAGCAACCAAAGCTTTTAAATAACTCTGACATGTGTTACTTGCAAGAGAACAACACGTTTTCCCCTACACCTTCCCTGGAGCTCCTTTGGGAGAAAGGGTAGGATATAAGTTGAATAAATAATAATAATGCATATGTAAGGATCAATAGTGTTGACTGTCATGTCTTCAGGACTTCATATAGTAAAAAAAAGAAAACTAAATGAAAACAGAGTCAGTTTCAGGAGCTACATATTATTATTATTATTATTATTATTATTATTATTTGTATGCTGCCCTTCATCTGAAGATCTCAGAATGGTTCACAGCGTAAAAATACAATATAAGTCATGTGAAAAGAAGAAAATTCTCATATCTATTTAATTTGAGGAACTGGAACGATGGTACCCACAGGAGCAGACCTTGGTAATATGCCGCCCTGTGCAAGGCCAACATTTGACACCCTCCCCACAGCACTCGCAGTGCCGGCTTCAGTAGGGTAAATAAGGTGCCAGACTTTGGGAAGGAGGACTCTAGGACCTTGTCAGAACCCTCACACCTCCTTCCTGAAGCCAGGCAAGTGCTTACCAGGCTTTGAGAAGCCACCCGCCTCAGTTGTGTACCCAGTGCCCCTCCCACAGCTTGCACTGTCCTAAATCCACCTCTGGTACCTATTCCCTATGACTACACTGTTCACATCCCTGTGAAAGTCTCTCCATTTGGTAATCTTAGCCAACCACAAGCCATCTAGTCCAGAACAATCTCACAGAAGCCAGTAGCTCTAAGTAGACAGGCTGAAGAATTAATTGAAAGAACCCAAGTGACATGTGGTTTGAGAATTACACCTGAGAATAATCAGGCACTAATCAATTTTGTTCAGTAGAATTGTACGACAGATGATAAAAGTATGACCCTTGTCTTACAAGGCCTTTATCAGGATTCTAGATGCCTTAGCAGTGGTAAAAATCTACATTATAGAAATACAAATGGCTTTCAAAACACAATGTAGTTATGTACTTTTTCCAAAATAAGGGATAATAAATTAATAATAATAATAATAATAATAATAATAATAATAATATTACTTATACCCTGCCCATCTGGCTGGGTCGTCCAAGCCACTCTGGGCGGCTCCCAACATAATATTAAAAACACGATAAAAGATTAACGATTAAAAACTTCCCTAAACAGAGCTGCTTTCAGATGTCTTCTAAAAGTCAGATAGTTGTTTATTTCCTTGACATCTGATGGGAGGGCATTCCACAGGGCTGGTGCCAGTACTGAGAAGGCCCTCTGCCTGCTTCCCTGTAACCTAACTTCTCACAGTGAGGGAACAGCCAAAAGGCCCTCGGAGCTGGACCTCAGTGTCCGGGCTGAACGGTGGGGATGGAGACACTCCTTCAGGTATACTGGGCCGAGGCTTTCATAAGAGCAATTTGTTTTCTCCTTTCTACCTGCTGTTCCAGATGGCAGAATGCAAACCAATAGGTTAAATTACATGTAAGGAGATTCCAATCAAACATTAGGAAGAACTTTCTGATGGTAAGATCTGTTTGAGAGTGGAACAGACCACCTCCGAGGATGGTGGAGTCTCCTTCATTGGAGGTTTTTAAACAAAAGTTGGTTGACCATCTGTCAGTGATTCCTTAGCTGTGATTCCTGCATTGTAGGGAATTGGACTAAGTCCCTTCCAATTCAACAATTCTAAGTTCTATTATTCTATCAATGAGTAGAATGTCCAAATACAACTTATGTGGCAGTAAAGTACCATATTGTTAAGTGAGTGTGGTATGTAGCAAATACCCGATTCACACGTCAAATCATTGCAGAAAGGACAGTGGTGGCAGCCGTCATATGAATCAATTCAAAGCAGCATACATATGGCAGCCATACAATTATCTCAAACAATCCCCTGAATCAAAAGAAAAGTGCATATGCTGCATTAAACAAGGAGTAAAGCCCAAGGTAAAATATTCACAGGTGCTAAAAACATGCTCATCAAAACAGAAAAAGATAGAAATTATAGTGTCACATCCCAACCTGATTAAAAGCAGCAATCACATTTGTTTTCAGATAGATTTAGAAATTGGGTAGTTCCATTAAACAGATATTTGCATAAGCCTGTCAGGTGTTATACAAATCCTACAAAAAGAGAAGTTTTTTTGGTTTTGTTTTTAAAAGAATAAACCTTCTTTAAAGCGAAGCCTGCAAATTATTTAGCCCCGGTTTCAAAACTGTCATTTCAGTGGATACAAATAAAAGATGACACAACAGCAAGATACAACTGTGTCACATTATCCACAACTTTCCAGGATGTCAGCAAAATAACAATAGGAGGAACCTTCTATCAGAAGCCAGAGGTTATTTTGCTATCTGGAAACCATCTTGAAGGTTTAGGACTGGTTCTTCCCAGTGACTGAATCCATGCAGAGTGCTTGTGAACAGATATCTATTAAGAAGATGCTCACTGTGGTCCACAGGATATTTTATAATAAGCTATTTCAAAGCTGCTCTGTCAAATCCTGTTCTTGTGGCCCAGCTGATATCAAACTACCTTAAAGGTATAAATGATCTGAAGTTTGCATTCACTAGAACATTTTCCTAATATAATCTACAATGTCAAAGAAACAGAGTATTAATCTGTCCTCCTCCACGATATGCCACTTCAACGATAGCATCAGTTGGCATACCAAGCTACAGACAAGTGCAATCAAAATCTCAGGTGAGGTTAGATTTATGCTTGAACATCTATCAGGAAGGAGTGCAAACGCTTGATGTTTGTGGCTTGATTTACCTTTGCCTACACGGTGCAAGTCATTCTCAAGTTTATGACTTTATTGTTCTAGCCAAAGATCATGACAAATTTGTATTAGGCTATAGTATTAATAAAATAATATAGAACATACATCTGTAACATAAAAATCCATAATCTAAAAAAGGAAAACTTTCCCAAGTTCCCTTATGACTGAAACCCGTGTAGGTACTGCAATTATTCACAGTATCCAAGGGGTGAGGCTGCAAGATGCCATTACAAGTGCATGGGGACTTCAGAGACTGTAGAACAGTGGTGCAGAATCTGTTTTCCACTTGCATGTTCCTGGACTCCAGCTCCCATCGGCCACAGCCAGCAAAGGTCAGGGATGATGGGGGTTATAGTCCAGCAACATCTTCTAGAGAGTCACAAGCTCCCCATCCCCGCTGCAGAAATTGGTTGCACTGCGTGAGTGCATCTCATCCTTGAAATAAACACTGCTATGATGGATCTGTCCCTTCAGAAGGGATTTAACTGGAAAAAGAACCAACAGTTATAGATAGGAGGCAAATGCAATGTGAGGAAGAGAGGAGAAATCTGCTCACATACTCTTTGTGACTTATCTCACAAGTGACGAAAAGTTTTAAGGCAATATTGCATATCACACAGCAGATTATTTACCGGTAAGTAATGCTTCATTTGGGCTGAAAATAATTTGTTTATTTATATTACTCATTTTTGCAGCATGCTACAACATCAGCTTTTGTGGTGTAGTGGTTAAGAGCGGTAGTCTCGTAATCTGGGGAACTGGGTTCGCGTCTCCGCTCCTCCACATGCAGCTGCTGGGTGACCTTGGGCTAGTCACACTTCTCTGAAGTCTCTCAGCCCCACTCACCTCACAGAGTGTTTGTTGTGGGGGAGGAAGGGAAAGGAGAATGTTAGCTGCTTTGAGACTCCTTCGGGTAGTGATAAAGCAGTATATCAAATCCAAACTCCTCTTCTTCTTCTTCTTCTTCTTCTTCTTCTTCTTCTTCTTCTTCTT